TTGTTTGGTTTTTTTGGTAGATACCTTGGGCTTTTCTCTGTAGACAGTGGTGTCATTTACAAAAAAGCTAGGACTTCTAGAACTATGTCAAATAAGAGTGATGAGAGTAAACATCCTGTCTTTTCCCTGATCTTAGGGGGAACGCATTCAGTCTTTCGTCATCAAGTATAATGTTAGCTGTATCTGACTGAAGAAGTTTCCTCCTATTCCTATTTTTCTGAGAAATTTCCATCATGAATGACTATTAAATTTTAACAAATGGTTTTACTGCATCAAGTGATATAATTATATGATTTTGTCTTTAGCTGGTTAATATGGTGGATTATTACCTTGATTTGCAAATATTGTACTATTGCTGCATCCATGGACTAAACCTCACTTAGTCATGGTGTGTAATTCTTGTTATATATTGCTCAGTTCTGTTTATTCTATTTGGCTGAAGATTTTTGTGTCTATATTAATGATGTGCATTAGTTTGTAATTTTGGGGCAGTCAGGGGGCTGTCTTTGTCTAGTTTAGTAGCAGGGTAATACTGGCATCATAAAATGAAGTGGAAAGTATTTCCTCGTGTTCTGTTTTTGGGAAGAGGTTGTATATTATGAATTGTACACTTAAAAACGGTGACTGATAATGGCGCCTGGGTGGCTCAGTTTGTTAAGCATCTGACTCTTGATTTTGGCTTGGGTTATGATCTCAGGGTTGTGAGATCGAATCTGGTATTGGGCTCTGAGCTGGTCCTGGAGCCTGCTTGAGATTCCCCCTCTCCCTCTGCCCCTTCCTCCCCCACCCTACTCCCACTGATATTCTCTCTTCTCTTAAAAAAAAAAAAAAAATTAAATTAAAAGGTGACTTTTATCATATGTAAATTATACCTCAATTTAAGAAAATAACACACCATTAGAAAAAATACTGAATAGAAAACAACCCTGGTGTTAATTGTTATTAGTTGGTTAATTGGTGTTAATTCTTTCTTAACCATTTGGTAGAATTCTCTAGTAAAACCATCTGAACCTAGAGATTTCCTTCCTGAGAGTTTTTAAATTTTGAATTTAATTGTTTCATAGTTATGGGACTATTCAAATTATTTGTTTCCTATTGGGTGAGTTGTTGTAGTTTGTGTGTCTTGAGGAATTAGTACGTTTCATCCAAGTTTTCAAATTTATGTGTGTAGGACTGTAATCTTCACTTATTATCCTTCTGTTGTCTAAAGTCCTAGGCCCTGTTTCATTCCTAATACTGCTCATTTGTGTCTCTTCCCTTTTTTCTTTGCTATGGATTTGTCCATTTTACTGATACTTGTGAAGAACAAGCATGTGGTGTTTAAAATTTCATTGATTTTTGCTTTCATCTGTATTGTTCCTTCCTTTTGCTTTGGGTTTATTTGTTCTTCTGTTTCTAGGTTGTTGAGGGTGGGAACTTAGCTTATCGTTTTAAGACTTTTCCTCTTTTTTAATGCATATAGTTAGTGCTATAAATTTCTCAACACTGCTTTAGCTGTGTCCCACAAATTTTGATATGTTGTATTTTCATTTTTATTCAGCTCGGTGTACCTTTTTATTTCCTTTGAGACTATCTTTCTGACCCATGAATTATTCAGAAGTGTGGTGTTTCATTTACAAGGGTTTGGAGATTTTCCTGTTATTTTGATTTCCCGTTTGATCCCATTGTGGTTGAAGAACACACTGTTTTGATTTTTTAATAAATTGTACTGATGGAGGGACAGTTGGGCGGCTCAGTCAGTTAAGTGTCTGCCTTAGGCTCAGGTCATGATCCTGACTTCTGAGATCAAGCCCCATGTCAGGCTCTTTGCTCAGCAGGGAGTCTGCTTCTGCCTCTGTTCATGCTCCCCCTGTTCATGCTCTTTCTCTCTCAAATAAATAAATAAAATCTTTAAAAAATACCTTTAAATTAGCTTTAACATTGATGTTCATTTTATTGCTCAGGATATGGTCTATCTCGGCATTTATTCCATAGGCACTTGAAAAAAAGTACATATGCATATTTTTGCTTCTTCATATTTTTCTTCTTTCCTTAGGTTTCAAGATTCCTTCTTCCCTTTTTCTTTCCGTTTTTTTAAATACTTTTTTAAAAAAGATTTTATTTTATGTAATCTCTACACCCAATGTGGGGCTCAAACTCACAACCCCAAGATCACACACTCCACTGACTGAGCCAGCCAAGTGTCCCTACTTTTCCTTTTTGATTAGAGAACTTTCTTTAGCTGTTCTTTAGGGTAGGTCTGCTGGTAAACAGACTCTCTGAGTTTCCTTTCATCTGTAAAATGTCTTGATCTCCTTTCATTCCTGAGGGGAATTTTCTCTGAGTGTGGGAGCCTAGGTTGACAATTACTTTCTTTAAGCCCTTGAAAAATACTGTGCCACTTTCTTCTAGCCGCCATGATTTCTGATGAGGAATCTGCTCTCATTTGAACAGTTTTTCCCATATAGGTAAGGTGTCGTGTTTTTTTTGTTGTTGCTGCTTTCAAGGTTCTTCTTTTCTTTAGTTTTCAGAAGTTTGATTATGATGTATCTTGGTGTGGGTTTCTTTGGGTTTATCCTGTTTGGCATTCACTGGGCTTGTATGTACATCTATAGATTCATGTTTCTTGTCAAATTTGGGAAGTCTTCAGCCATCGTATCTTCGAGTACTTTCCCATCCCCACCTCCTTGATCCTCTTTTTGGTGCTTTGATGGCACCTCATCATAGCCCAGCAAGGATAGAAACCAAGCCCCACCCCCCGACCCCCCCCACCCCAACATTTGCTGACAAGTGAGGGTGGTGTTTGGTTGGAGTAAAGCAGTTATTGTCTAACAGTTTTCTGGCTTGCTAGGCTGTCCCTTCCCCAGTCCTTTGGGTGGAGCCAGCATGCTTTTATGAGGGATTTATTTTTTCCTGTCTGTCCATTGGTGTTTCTGGGTTGCTGGCTTCTTTAGCTCCAAGTAAGATATATGAGGCAAACAAACCAGCAGGACAGAGAAAACAAAAAGCCAAGTAACTCAACTATCATGCCATTTCTTGCCCTCCTGTCTCCAACCTATCAAGTCTTCTTTTATATTTTATATGTAATGTCCAGGGTTTTTTTTTTTTATCAGTCTTTTTTTATAATTGATATATTATTGTCTTAAATTGAGATATAATTTACATACCATAAAATTCATACTTTTAAGCAGTTCAGAAGTTTTTAGTACATTCACAAAGTTGTGACTCCATCATCATTCTAATTGCAAAACATTTTTGTCATCCCAAAAAAGAAAGCCCATATCCAAGAGCAATCACTTCCCATTCCTTACTTTTTCCAGTCGCTGAAAACCACCAGTCTACTTACTGTATCCATAGTTTGCCTATTCTGAACATTTCACGCAAGTGGAATCATGTAATATGTAGCCTTTTGTGTCTGGCTTCTTTCAGTTAGCATAATGGGTTCAAGGTCTGTCTGTGTTGTAACATGTATCAATACTTCATTATTTTTTACCGCCAAATAATATTCTATTATATAAATATATCCCACATTTTGTTTATCCACTTGCCAATTAATGGACATTTGGGTTGTTTATACTTTTTAGCCACAATGCTGCTATAAACATTAATGTACAAATTTTTGTGTGAACATATGCTTTTAATTCTCTTGGTTATATACCTAGGAGTCACATAGGACCGTATGTCGTAACTCTGTGTTTAATTTTTTGAGGAATTGCTAAACAGTTTTCCAAAGCAGTTGCACTACTTTGCATTCTCACCAGTAATGTACGAGGGCTCTTTTTCTCCACATCCTTGATGATGCTTGTTACTGTCCATCATTTTGATTATAGTCATCTTTGTGGATATGAAGTGGTATCGCATTGTGGTTTTGATTTGCATTTTCCTAATGACTAATGATGTTGAGCACCTTTTTATGTGCTTACTGGCTTCTGTGTATCTCCTATAGAGAAATACCTATTCAGATCATTGGTCCAGTTTGTACTTCTTGTTGTTGTTTGTTTCCTATTGCTGTGTCATAATAGTTCTTTTACATAGACTAGATCCTAGGCCCTTATCAGAAATATAATTTGCAAATACCTTCTCCCATTTTGTGGGTTGTCCAGTATTTTTGTTGTACTTAGCTGAAGGAGTAAAGTACATCTACCTCATCTTCCTGGAGTCATAAGTCTCCCAAACTAGTTTTAGAATAGCTTTTGGAAGGTCCAAATTGTACTTCATTGCTTAAAACTCGGTATTTTAAAGTCAGTGTGGGACTATGCTAGTGTTCGATTTTTGTTGTTGTTGTTGTTGTTTCAAACTTAGACATGATTTTGAAGTCAATTTCAGGGGAGGGTTTTAATGATTTTTCCTATGACTTACCTCCTTGAGTATTCAGAGAAAGTTTCCGCTTGGTGTGCCATGGCCTATTGGTTATGTGCCATGATACATGTCCCATTAGCTCTCTGGGTAGCCATCAGGGCCCAGGGCACCCAGCATGTACACCAGCATTTTGTTCAAATATTATCATTTATATGTGTACCGACAGGTGCAAAGGTTGAGGAGTCCTGGTTAAGAGAGCACAAGAATAACCTTATAGCCCCGTGAGAGTAAGGAGCCCCTGTCTATGGTACGTTTTTAAGCTCTGCAGTCAGAGCAGTGGAAATAGGGCCAGGTGTGAGTGAGCATTCCTCATTTCTAGGCAAAACAGACGGGTCTTCAATCTTTTCTTACCAAACAGTGAGCAATTCAGAGTTAATCACAAGGAATCAAGAATTGCATGGTATCTCCAGTCTTCGCCCAGATCACCTCCTGAGTTCTTCCAAGACTGCTGTCTTCTTCCTGGGTAAAGATTATTTTTGACTTCTATGCTTCTGACTCTACTTCTCCTATAAACTCAAACACTGCTGTATAGCCACGCTAGAAACAGCAGAATCATTTTGAACTTCAAATATTTCTTTTGTTCCATAGGTGCCTGGGTGTCTCTTACCGGCTCCCCAACCTTGCCAGCCAGTGCCATGAATGGATTATGCTTCTGACGAAATCCCTGACGGCATTTTGTTCGGTCTTCACCACAGGGTTCTGGTGTATTCTCAAGCACCGTTTCTGGGTTTCCGTTCCACAGCACCACAGGCTGATGAAGGGACACTTTCCAAACCACAGGGCTCTCCCTTTGTCAGTGTCCTGCACTCTTTCATCACCTGCACTAGCCTCTCATTTCAGTCTCTAGCCAATCTAATTTCAAATGTCTTCAGTTTTCTAAAATTCTGTAGATTTTTCTCCACTGTGCTCTTCTAGCCTTATTTTCAATTTTTTAAAAATACATATTACTCTTGTTATCGCCACACAAACTAGTCATTTTCTTTTTTTTTTTCTTTTTTAGCCTCTACTCTGCCTGAATATTTGCTAATAGCCTTGATCTTAAGCACTCAAACTCATTACAGACAAGGTACTCTTCACTTTTATTTAGTATTTAATTCTGTTTCTTATGTCAAAGGAAGAAATGTATGTGAAAGCCTTTTATAAACCAGAAAGCACTATACACTCATATAACTTACTGAGATTAACAAAGGACCACTGTGCTTCTTTTCACGCTTTCTGCTCCTTCTGAGCCAAAGAACTTCTCAGTAGAGGAGGGAAATATTGAAGAAAAATAAAGCAATGGAGTTGTCTCTTAGCAACTGGGTTCATGCCTTATAAATCTTGCCCACTTTAGATTGCTGCTGCTCAAAATCACTTGCTTTCTTTACTGGCTCAGTGCAAATAATGTTATTAAATTATAGGAAAACGAAGGGAAAAAATCTAACGAATGAGTCACTCCGTTTATTGACTGTGCTCTCTCTTGCGTAGCACTGTTGATGGAGGTGGGTTGTCTCTTGATTCTAATCGCGAAACTTTTTTATGTATATAAATACATATGTGTATGTGTGTGTGTGTGTGTGTGTATAGAGAGAGAGAAAGAGGTGTGTGTGTGTGTGTGTGTGTGTGTGTGTGTGTAGGTATCTTTTTTGTAATTTAAAATATAAACTTAGGTAGAAGCTGAATGCCACCTTATACATTTCGAGGTTACCCAAGTCTTGAAATAATATGGATGTCACATAGATGGTACAAAACATAAACCGTGATAATGATCAAGGTGTGCATAGCTTAAAAAAAAAATCAAGTGTCCAAAAACTCAAGCCAAATTGGGGGTTTGATAATTTGTGTTATAAAATAATTCATTATAAGGATTCTTCAGATAGTAGATCTTCATAGTATATTTCACTTAGCAAATAATTCCAAGTACCTTTTGTGCTAGACAATGGAGGAGATAAAGATTCCCTCTGTGTGTGTGTGTGTGTGTGTGTGTGTGTGTAAATAATCTTTGGCTTTCACTATCAGAAGGTAGATAAGACTTGCACACAAATGAGGCGGTAGGATGATGAATTCCTTGTGGGTGGTGAGCTGAGTCTGTAGAAGTTCAGAGGAGGGAAAGGTCACTTCCAGCTGGGTGAGCTATTATGATTACATGGACAAGATGACATGTTAGAGAACAGAAGACTAACGGAGAGTTTGTCAAGTTTAGTAATTAAGGCAAGATTGAAGAGGCAGGTAAGACGTTGGCGCTTTCAGCTCTAGAACAAGGAGTTTAAACTTTAGTCAGGAAGCAATGGGGAGCCACTGACATTTTTTTTTTTTAATCAAAGTCTTGTCTCAGAAAATTTATCTAGCAGTAATGTGTAATTTCAGTTAAAAGAAAAGAACTGGTTTGCTGATAGTCTTTTATGCTCCTTTTGTATGAAACAAAGCTGCATTTATAAATAAGCCAATTACAGAGTTGATTCATTTCTAGTCTTTTTAGAAGGTAGTCAAAAACCTGTTTTCAGATGCAATTAGATCCAGTAAGATAAACTGCATAGTTAAGATAGAAGTGTTCTATGAAGTGGGGTGAAATACTGTATTTCATACTTTCTAAAATCATTTTTAAGGATCTTTCATGGCAGGCATCCTAGTGTCTTTCTCCACCTGAAACAATGCAGAAATTCCCCATTTCCTCTTTTTCCCCACTGCTTGGATAGAATGAATGTCTATAATGAAAAGACCTTCTTATCAGTCACCCTCTCAGATTTGTTCTTAATTTTACCAAATATTTGTATACCTCTGCAAAAGACTGCTTTTGCCTGCCTTCTCCTTTAGTGGGAGAAACAGAAGGACCGCCGGCCTACCTCACAGGGTTGTTGTGAGGCCCCACTGGTACAAAGACGAAGTGCTGGGTACATACTCAGAAAATGCTGATGATTGATTGATTGAGAAATGGGCTTGGTGTTGGTTGGCTGTTGGTGGAAACCTCTCTATACTGGAAATGCAATGTTTTAATAATAAAGACCATATAATAAGCCTGGCTATTGTCTTCCATGTGTGGTGTGCCTCGGGGAGTTCAGAGCGTAAAATGGGTCCCACCTGCTACTATTAGGGAAATCACACTTCCTACATATTTACCTCACAGTGAAATCGTGTTTTTTAAAAGCAGCACACCTGAGAGAAGCAGTATGTTCTTGTGAGCCATATTACAAATCAGGAGGTTGGGAACATTCAGCCCGGCTTAGTTACTCATTTGCTGTGTCACTGGACAAATCGGTGATCCTTTTTGTACCTCAGCCTCCTCTTTTTTTTTTTTTTTTTTTAAGGTCTTATTTATTTATAACAGAGAGACAGTGAGAGAGGGAACACAAGCAAGGGGGGAACTGGAGAGGGAGAAGCAGCTCCCCGCTGAGCAGGGAGCCCCAATATGGGGTTTGATCCCCGGACCCTGGGATCATGACTGGAGCCGAAGGCAAACACTCAACCATCCGAGCCATCCAGATGCCCCTGTACCTCAGCCTTCCGACGAGACCACCTGAAGCTGCCAGGCCAAAAGAAGCTAACTGCTGGGTCAACAACACACAAATATAGGGGACTCAGGAACACCCGTGACCAAAAGCTGTTACGTAAAATAGTTTAGGAATGAGACATTTGCCATGTCTTCCCCCATTGTATTGACCAGTAGGTTCCCACTTGAGGTCAAAGTTGCAAAGGGAGAAGGGCGTGTGTTGAGGAAGAATTTGTTGCTCCCACTCCAGAAATTTGGTCACATCTCGGGTCACTTCCAGCTGAAGAACCTAGAAAAGATCATATTTGATGCTATGTTGGTCTGGGGTGCTGTTTGAATCTCTTAGCCATTTTCAGGGTCTCTCCTGAGAAGTCTCAGGCGTTTCAGCAGCCCTGACTGCCGTCATGTCTCTCTGAGCTTTTGGAAGGCCACAATCTGGCTCTAGGGCTACACTGTGTCCTGCTGTCTCATCCTGATCCGGACAGTGTATGTCTTCAGGTGGAAAAAAAAAAAAAAAGAACAAGTGTTTTTAACTCAGTGGAATTTTATTCTCTGATGAATTTATAAGTAAAGATAAAATAACATGATGTAAGTTTTTTGTTTTGTTTTGAAGATGTATTTTGAGTTTCAGAGCAAGAATTTTCTCTACTTCTGACCTAAAATATGAAGAAAAGCTTAGGCTAGTCCTTAAAAAACATCAATTCGTGCCATTAATTGAAAGCATTTCTTTTATCTGAAGTTGGACTGAATCGGACTAGCTCCTCCCAAAGCTTAAAAGTTAGCACAATTTTCAAAATGAGAAAACTTTGAAACAGTTTTCCCCTTTTTTGCTGTATCTTTCAAATGCCAGGCAGAGCTTGCTGTGTTGAATCAAATTGAAGCATGCCCAGTAAAAAATAATAGCCCCTGGCTTGGGAACTAGACCTTTAGTTCGTTCGGAAACCAAAAGGATCCTGGCCCAGTTTTAGTGTATGGAAACCCTCCAAACCACCTTGGCTAGCCCCAGTATTGTAGAACCAGGCTATAGAACACGAGGGCTCAGTGCTCTCCGCAATGGTGGGAATCTGCTGTTATTTCTTAGCAGATCAAATCCATGGTGAATACTAGGGCACAGACTGTGTGGTCTAGTTTAGGCTGCAACATCAGCAAGAAAAGTTGAAGACCCAAGTTCAGGAAAGCAAGGGAAACCACAAAGACTAAGCAGAGGGCAAGGGCTTGCTTGGGTAGCCACAGCAGCACATTTTAGACATTCAGAGAGATCCTTGCTTCTTTCTTTCTTATTGGCACATTTTTCCCACAGAAAGATTATGGGAGAATAAAGGGAGGAGGAAAGTCTTGACTCAAAAGGAAAAAAAAAAAAAGATTATATAAAGTGATCATTTGTATGGCCTGGGACTTCCTAGTGTTTACTGAGTGTGTACCCTTTCAATACCTGTGACCAATACTTTCCCCTTGATTCCTGATCATTTAACGAAGCTATATAATCCAAAAGACTGTTAATGTGGTCCAATTTACCTACTATGATTCCATAAGAAGAGGATAGGAAGGTTAAGGGAATACTTGTACTCCATTCTGTTTTTGCAGTGTTCGTTCATTTTCTTCTACTAAAAGCCTGTTTTATTCTCTTTCTAGGTAACAGTATGACTAAATACACAGAGAAGCTAGAAGAGATAAAAAAAAGTGAGTAACACTATCGATGTTCTGGGATAATGGAGCCCTGAAGTTCTAGAAGTAGGTTATTAACAACCTTAGCCCCATCCTACAGCTGACAGGCATAGAGAGCTATAGGAGGTGGGCGAGCCTGGCAGGTGCCAAGGAGGATGTGGGAAACCCTTGTACCGTCCCAGCCAGCTGCTAAGGTTGTCACCTGAGGGCTGAGTTCTGCCCAACTAACGTCCCACAGGAGATGTTAGTGTTAGAATGCAGAATGAGCTCTCTAGTTAGGCAGTGAGAGTCCGAGCTTCTTGTTTCACTGGACTGCAATCTCCACGACCTTTTTCAAGGTCATGATCTTTCTTGTCTTCTTCGTTTTTTCTATGCCTGAGATAGTAAGCATACTACCTCTCCTTTCATAGCCTCCTTTGGCATATAAATTAGTCGGTTATTCATGAAAGACATGGGGGGGGCAAGAGGGAACAAGCTTAGTCTTAAGTGGTGCTGCCATGCCTTCTAAATTCATTGCAGTCTGCTTTCCTTTAATTAAAAATCATATTTCATGCACGTCCTTTTTACAAACTAATCTGCTTTCAAGATAAGCTACTAGTCACTGAGTACATCGCCCTTGCACAAAATCTTAATTTTTCAACTTGTGTCCAAAATGGATGCAAAGTGTATACACCAAGCCAGAATGCAAGAAGTAGAAACATCTGTTTCCTAAGATGGATTTGTCCATCTCCTCAGTAGAGGAACCTGGTGCCAGGGGAGTAGTTAGCTAATGGGAGGCAAGAGGCCCTCTAATGGTTCCCAGTTCAGGACTTCACTCTGGTAATACACATTCTTTGGGAAGGGAATATTACAAACCCAGAATTCACCAGAACTTCTCTTTTTATAACAGGCCTTTTAATTTAAATGATAATGTTTCTGCTTCTTTTGAATTGCTGCAGTATTAAGAAACCCCAGCCAATAGCGTGGGGACTTAGGGGCGGCTTTATGCTGTGACCCTGCTGGTTGCCATGTTTGGCTGTAAGGGCTGTTACAGACATTTGTTTTTTCCTGTGTAATTGTCACACCATCCTTTTCTTCTTCAATCATTTATATCAGATTTTGTACTTTTATTATACTTTACATTACGTAAGTATATATAGAGAGAGAGAGAGGGAGAGAGAGAGAGAGAGAGAGCATATTTTACCATTTTAAACTTATTTGGAAAAAAATCTCATTGCTCACCCATGCCTCATTGTTGTTATCCTTAGTTCATCCACAGCAGGTAAAATTCAGCTGGCTTGCTTCTGGTTGGGCCTGCGATCCCTTTTGCCTCCTATCCATTCATAGCTTAGTGTAAGCATTCATGTCCACACCAAGATTTGTCCTCTGAAAATGTCCCATTCCACCCAGATTGTGGAACCCTGTTTAAAACATTTCTTAAAAGCACAATGTGGGGGCGCCTGGGTGGCTCAGTGGGTTGGGCCTCTGCCTTTGGCTCAGGTCATGGTCTCAGGATCCTGGGATCGAGCCCCACATCGGGCTCTCTGCTCAGCGGGGAGCCTGCTTCCCCCTATCTCTCTGCCTGCCTCTGTCCCGACTTGTGATCTTTCTCTCTGTCAAATGAATAAATAAAATCTTTAAAAAAAAAAAAAAAAAAGCACAATGCGGTTTCTCTAATATCTAAACTTTAAATGGAGCTTGTTTCCCCCCCTCTACTCCCCCACACCCAAATACCTCTAGATAAAGTCCTTGAAAGTGTTTGCTTCCCTCTTTAGAAGTTTTGGGCTTCCTTTTAGTAAGACAAGAGGCTCCTCTCACTTTGTTTCACACACTTTGTGCTGATTCCCTGACTAGAATTACTTCAGATTCTGGTTTGAGATCTACATTTTGGAAGCTCTTTCCTTCTCTTTCCCCATTTTCTGCTGTAGATGTTCTTTTGGGTCACAAGGGAGGAGAATATTGCCTTGTTTCGTGACACCCTAGACCCCTCACTTTTCTCGGGTTACCTTAGATGCCATGTCTTTCTGTGAAATCACAAACCTTGTTCTCTTACTTCCTTTGATTTGTCTTCCACTGTGAACCCAACTTCCCTTTGCTACTAACGTGTTTTAACAGAACCCTGAAAACGCAGAATTCCTTTGTAATCTGAATATTCTTTCTGCTCTGTCTCAGGAAAATAGACACTCTGTGTCTATTGACTGCTCACAATGCCTATTCTTGGCTTCTGGTGGTTGGATGACAGTAGCTGAACCCAGTGTGAAGCATCCTAGATAGTCAGGTCTCTGTCCTTCCAGTAACTCGAGAGAGCCAGCCTGAGACTCCGCGCTTACCAGAGAAGCAAAACTTGATAACATATCTGAAACTAGGATTTTATTGTCTTCATCCTGGAGTTTGGGAGAAGTGAGGGTAGCAGAAGCTCCATTCTTAAAGCTCTGTTCGCCCTTGCAAGGCCAGACTGACAGAGCTTTCCAAGTCAGCCTTTTTAATAAACTTTAAAACTTACTAGTAAAACGTCCAGGTCGATCTTTTATCTCTGAGTAAGAATGTCAGAGAGTCCTAACGATGGCTGTCCTTCTAAACAAGAACCAGGTATGTAGAGTTAAGGTTCAAATGTACAGCGGGATTCTGAGTGCCTATGAGAGGATCCTCGATATGCCAGTCAGCAGAATAGACGAGAGCCTGTTTTTCGTTTGAGATCATTTCTACTTTGTCAAAGGGGATTTGGATGGGTACATTTTGTACTGGGAATGTGAAGAAGTGGAGAAGTATTTCAAACTATGTAACTACTTATCAGTGGAGAAATGCCATAGAGCAAGCTACTTGAAAATTGTTGACTCTCTTGATTGGCTAATTTTATTGCCACTGTGATGGACATAAATGACTTTTGGTGGGCAGGTTGGTGGTAGTCTTGGGTCTGCGTCCTCGTGGGTCTTAGAGGCTCCTTTGCATCTAGGTTTGTTACCTTGTTGTATTCAGAAGAAGCTATTATGAAACTTATCTAGAAGTAATGGTTAGTTATTAGCGACCTGTCTCTCTTTGAGACATCAGAGGCAGAGAAGCTTGAATTCATTGTAACAAAGAGTCTTGATATAGTGACAGAAGTCTAGTTTTTAAAGTATTATTATTTCCTGACTCTTGAGTCATAAGGTGTTTTGGTCAACCAAGCTAACATCCTCCAAAGGATTCGTTCTCTGTTGGTTTTTGGATAATTCATGGAAATGATTAGTAACACCAGGTAAATAATTTTAAATACCTTTAATCCTTTCCTTTGTTGCTAGGAGTCTCAGTTTATGCGACTTCTACCCTGTGAAGGCCATAGTGATTATCCACCTAACCTTGAGTAATTCGGAAGTACTTAATGAGGAAGTACTTAAAGAATCATGACGCCAATATAAAAATGTAGAGATGAAGGGAAGCTTGAGGGTGGGTGGGAGTTCCATGCTGAAAACTCTTCAGAATTGGCAGTTATCTTCAGGAAATTTTAAGGAAGCTAACTTTTAACATGCCTCTGTGGGACAGATACTAGATCGTGTGAGACTGGCTGAATTTTAAGACCTTTCAATGTGATATGAAGAACTGTTAACAAACAAGCGTAAAAGTTGCCCCCATTTGAGTCATGTCTCAGGACTGTCAAGATAGAGCTGAATAAATACTGATGTTTCAGGAGGATGATTTTTTTTTAACTGTGGTTAAAAAGAAAACACACACACACAAAAAATAAAAAACACCTAACATAAAATGTACCATCTTCACCATTTTTATTTTTTTTAATTTATTTATATAATATTTTTAAAGATTTTATCTATTTATTTGGCAGACAGAGATCACAAGTAGGCAGAGAGGCAGGCAGAGAGAGAGCAGGAAGCAGGCTCCCCATGAAGCAGAGAACCCAATGTGGGGTTCGATCCCAGGACTCTGGGATCATGACCTGAGCCAAAGGCAGAGGCTTTAACCCACTGAGCCACCCATATGCCCCCCTTTTCACCATTTTTAAATGTGACACTGCTGCACGACAGATCTCGGGAACTTTTTCATCTTGGAACACTGAGTAGGTGTATTTTTACGGAAGTGGAGTTGCGGAGAAACTGATAGAAAAGATTATCAGCACCAGGCCTAACTTTGTGCCCAGCGCAGTGGCAGTGGCGGTGGTGATTGGGGCGGAGGTGGGGGGAGGTTGTCCTGTGTCTCCAGCAAATTTGTAACCTCAGGAACAGAACCGTTCTCCCTTCAGGGCAGAGTTAGAATAATAGGGTGTGAATGTCTTACCAGCTGTTTGACCTGGGGCAACAGAGCTTCTCTGGGTCTCTGTCCTCATTTGCAAAATGCAGGCGTTTATTCCCCCCTACCCTCTTTGTTGGGAAGAGGATTTAAAATGTCTTATAAAATGCATGTAATACAACAGTGGTCAAAAGAAAGAAAGACCGCAGAAGTAAAAGGGGAAAATGGTAAGCAGATAGAAAAAAATGCAAGGGGTAAAGTCACCAGACACAAAAAGATGACTTATAAATTGACTTTAGGCTTCCAACCAGCCAAAGCAAAGGTGGGAATATAGAGGTGATAAAAATGTGTGGCACACTTCATTTTGACCATACCGTGAGGATCCTATATGAGATAGGATATGTAAAAACAAATAAATCACTTGAAAATTACACTAACTTGATGGGTAGAAAGAATGAGTACCTCTAAGAAAAATATACCTAGAAAATTATTTGTCCTATCCTACTTTTCAGATTATAGATACAAAAAGGATGAGCTTTTCAAGAGACTAAAAGTTACAACTTTTGCCCAGCTGGTAAGTTTAACTAAAATCCTTTGGAGTAAAGACTCTAATTTGCGCTGGTTTATGTGAGTATTTCGAATGCCACCCTAGGTAATGTTTGCAGAAGAGTTCCTTCTGATTCTTTACACCTACGGGAGGATTGATGTGTGGTATGTGTGCTCACTCAAGGGTAGTATGAACAGTCTTCTTTGGTAAGAATTTTATAAAGTGCACATTCTGCCTTTCAGTCATAACACTATGGCTTAGGTTTGTTTGTTTGTTTTCCTTGCACCCTTTAACTTAATATTTAGAATCTAGAATTGTGGTCTTTGGATTGTTTGGATGTTTTTCTCTGTGAAACCAGGTGATTGCTATGGGCTATTTGTTACTTTGGGAAAGTCACTTTCTTCTTTCATTTGAAAATTACGGACAAAGTGTCTCTCGGGCCCCCCAAACATGAGTTTCATTGATGTACCTCAAGGTGGATCTTGGGTCTTAGGAGCTGAGCTGTGAAAAGTGCTTTAAAAACTGTGTATAGGTATACAGTGTTGTGCTGAATATGTTTATAATTACATTTATTTCCTCATTGCATGTAGAGTTGTTGATTCAGTTCTGTCATTGTAAGTACTGCACGTTGAGACTAAAATATATATGATTATTTATTCACGTTTCTTGTCCCCAATTGCCCTTTTGGTCTTTTTAGTTTATTACATGATGTTTTAAATGAAGCTTTTTTTTTTTTGGAACCATCATTTGTGTGCGGTATGATTACCACTCCCAAAATAAGGAGGCCTGAGATTTAGTCTCCAATGGAGGAAACTGACAGTTCCTTAAACCCAGAGATCTTTGATGTTTGATGTTTCCTCATCTTTTATAAAAGACAGAATTGCCTCTGTTTAAAGACAAACATACATGCATCTATACATTTCATTCTTTCTTCTATCAGGTCATCCAAGTTGCTTCCCTATCTGATCAGACACTGGAAGTGACAACTGAAGAGATTCTAAGGCTGGAAGGTAATGGGAATCAAGGATGTGGGGTAGATAAGTGATTGACCATTTGACCGAAGTGCTTGCCCCGTCTGCCTTCGCTGTTGTGTTCACAGAGAGCTGGGGCTTTGATGGATCTATTTGCAATTAGATTGTTACTCTCTGAGAAAACGCTATCTGGTGCTTCAATTGTTAATTCTTATTTATTTTCAAAAGCCGTCTGGTTTTCTGGCTCTAACATTTGTAGTTTTAAATGTTTTTGATGTGTTTAATATACTAATTACTTTCCAACAAATATTTTTAGTGCCTTCTCTATATGCATAGGTCACAGTATTAGGTGCTAGGAGACCACAGAGATGAACAATGCCCGCTCTGCTTACATGGAGCTGGTAGCCGCAAGTGCACACGCACACACGTATGTGTGCTGGATGAGGAGAGCAGGAACAGAAGCACAAAATCACAAATGTGACAGAAATTCATAATGAAGAACTGGAGAGAAGCCATCATTTGTTGAATATATATTGCTAAGTACTGCATTCAAGTTTTCTTATTTAATCTTATCGAAAACTCTAGAAGGTACACTTGAGAGATGAGAAGCCCAAGCCTCAGAGGTTACATTACTTGCTCAAGGTGACACAGCCAGTAAGGAATGGGCGCAGGATACACAGATTTGCAGGTGTCTCGTAACAATCAGTGTCTTTGCTATGGGAGTTCTGAGGAAGGAAAGGTACTTTCCAGTTAGAAAACTGAGATAGGCTTTCTTAAAAAGCTTTTGAACTGGGCCATAAAGGAGGGTAGCATCTCAACAGGGTGCAAGTTAAGGGTGAGATTCTTGCAACCTGAGCAAAGAAAGGCATGCGAGAATGAGAAGCTCCAAGCGAGTTTGGGGGACAAGTCATCCAGCCTGGCGGCCGCGGGGTGACCAAGAATTGGGGGTGGAATGGGTGCTGGGTTGGAGATAGGGCCAGGAAGATAGGCTTCTAGAAGCTCCAGGTTTCCTTTCTGAAACACTGAGTGGAAATAAAACCTCTTAGTTGTACTATAATGAAAAGGAATACACAGAGTTAAGGTCTTTATTTTATCCTGAGGTACTCAACCGTCAATGTGCGGCTGTTTACTGAAGGGAAATGTGTTCTGTGAAGGTTGATGGAGGCCAGGAATCTGACTTCTGATTTCAAGACAAGTTTCTCAGGAAGTCCGAGCCCTGGTTTTGTGCGACTTAACTGTCATCTCCCTGTTTTTGTTAGGGAGGATAAAGAGCATCTGACAAAGACAGGAATTTATCTCTGACAGATGCCTCTCACACAGCAGAAAAATAAGGGCTCTTTGTAACAGAGATAATTGAGTCTCCTCATAGAAGTACTCCCAATTTTAACCTGGTTATATAAGTACCTGGATTTGGTCCTTTAATTCATTGCAATTGCAGCACTGGAACATATGGGCACATGCAATTTTCTCTTCTGAGATGAATTTGCACAGCAAAATAGGCTCTTATAAAGTAGGACACCATAATGTGTGAGTAATATTAGTGTTTTTCTAGTGCTCTACACAGAATAATAACTCACTCAGGAATGCCTGTAGAACAGATTGTATGCATATTGGCTATTTTTGAAGGAATAAAAAAAAAATCTCCTTTTGTAATGTTTATTGTCTTTTTCCTGACTTAAAAGTGTATTTCTAGAAAATTAGAAAACAGCAAAAAAACAAACAAAAAAAAACTATATAAAGAAAATTAAATAATTCCTGCTAACATTTTGCTGTATTTTACCCCTATCTAACTGCCCAGCCAAATCCCTTCTCTTTGGGCATACTTGTGAATTGTGCTGTTTCAAATTAACGTTTTATCATGCATACTATCCTATGTCATTAAATGGGCTTCAAAACCTGAATTATGAAGATTATGTTGTCATATAATGCCTGTCCTGGGGATATACCATAATTTATTTATTTATTCTCCTATTGGACATTACAGTTTTTCTGATTTCTCACTTTTATAAAACAATGCTGTAATGTAAATACATAAGCGTCCATGTGCTTCTGATTGTTCCCTGAAGATAAATGGGTGCAGTGGTCGAAGGATAGAACCGTTTTCAGATGCTGGATGCTGATTCCACATTATCTCCAGAATGGCTCTTCCTGTTCGCATTCCCAACAAATAAATGAGAAGACCTGTTTCTCTTCATCCTAGGCATTGCTGAATAATTATCATTTTTGCAAAAGTTTGCCAGTTTGGTAGATGAAAAGTGGTATCTAATAATTTTCCTTTGAATCTCTCTGATCATGAAATAGACCTTTGTTGTACGTATGTATTTGTTGGTCATACCTGTTTCTTCTGAGAACATTACATGTCCTTCCCCATTTTTTTCCTCTTGTGGTATGTCCATCTTTTACTGATTTGTAGAAGCTCTGTATATTAGGGTATCTTTAAATATTGGAAACCAGTACAGCCTTGAAGATGAATGAGAAAAAGCTTTACTTAATGATTTGGAACAGTTTTCAAGCTATATCATTAAGTAAAAATAAAACAACAAAACAAAAAACCAAAGTGTAGAGCAGTATGAATGGCATTCTCCTGATATGTAAAAAGGGGAAGAAATAAAATAGATGCTAAAGTCCGTGGTTATTTTATTTCTGGAAGGAGACATAAATCTCTGAATGTAGTTCCCTTGGGAGAGGAGCCTGAGGGCCTATGGGTCTGCAGTGGGAAGGGACTTCCCTTTCCCTATTAATAGTTTTATCTTGTTTGCATTTTTACCTTGTGCACAGGATCTTTTTTCAATTAAAGCACTAGGTAATTAAAAAACACTTTGTAAATTAAGTATATTAACCTTTTCTCATGCATCTAGGTCATAGATATTTTTCCTAATTTGTTACTCACCTTTTAATTTTCACGTTGGTTTTTGACATACACGAGGTTTGTTGCATTTTTACAAGATTAAATCTATTAGCCTTTCATGTTGTGTTTTCTTTTATTGCCTTAGGCTCATAAAATCCAAAACAAGATAAATGATTCACCTGTATTTTCTTCTGTTAGCTTTGTTGTTTGTTTGTTTTCCTACATCAATCTATTTGTTAATATTTTGGAATATGATGCGAGGGGGTTTTCTAAATTTGATTTTTCTAGTTAGTAAGCACGATATCCCACCATCATCTACTCAGTCGTTCTCCCTTTACCCACTGATTTGTGATGTTACCTTTAACATATATATTAGCTTTTTATGTATATTCTAGGTTTTATTTCTGTGTTCTCATATTCCATTGTTCTGGTCTGTGGTTCAGCATTCTTTTGGTCGTTTATCTTTGCAATATATGTTACTATTTGCTAAGGCATAGTCTCTAAATTACCCATATGTATGTATGCGTGTCTGTGTGTGTATATGATATATATATAATATATATATATTATATATTATATATTATATATATATTTTATATATAATATATATATATTATATATATTATATTATATATATATAATATTATATATATATAAATTTTGTTTCTCTCTCATCTTTAAAATCCCTTTAAGCTTTTCAGAAATCCCATTGGGATTGTTTTATGTCTAAAAATTAAGTTTGGAAAGAATATCATTTCACTTTTAGTCACCCAGTCAGGAATGTGAAGGTCCATCACTGTCTTCATTCAGATTGTCTTTAATGTCTCTTAAGTAAAATTTATAGAAGACCTATAAAGGTTGTAAGTTTTTACATGTCCTTTACATGTCTTAATAGGCTTTATCTTTGAGGAGAGGATATCTTATATTTGCAGTTGTTACTGTAAATGAGATGCTGATCATATTCCTTTCTAATTGGTATATTAAAAAAAGGAGTTTTTTAGTATTTCTTTTTTTTTTAATTTAACCACATACTTATTTCCCTTATGCTCATAGGATTCTTCTGAAGTTTCTAGGTATATATATATCATATGCAAAGTAAATGTTAATATTCTCTTCAATAACTAGGCCTCTTAGTTCTATTTCTTCTCTCACTGTACCAGTTAGAATAGCGAATTCTCAAACTTTTTGGTATAGTCTCCCTCCACACTCTGAAATTGAGGACCTCAAAGAATTTTGGTTTATGGACATTATATCTGCTAATATTTAGGATATTAAAAATTTTAACTGAGAACTTAAAAATATTTATTTACTATTTCATTTACAAATAGTGATACTGAACCCATTGCAAACATAAATAACATTTTTATGCAAAATAGTTGTATTTCCAAAACGAAAAAAAAGTTTACTGAGCATAATATCGTTTTATATTTTTTTGTAAATCTCGATGTCTGATTGAATAGTAGACAGCTGATTCTCATGGCTTCTGCATTCAGTCCATTGCAATATGCTGTTTGGGTTGAAGTACATGGAGAAGATCTAGCCTCACATGGATCTGTAATTGAAAAAGGGAGAATCTTTTAATAGCCCTTTCAGATAATTGTGGATACATATCTTCAATACTATACTAAAACCTAGTTGTAATGTGGAACCTGAAACCATATCAATGCGGGTTTCATACTCTATTCCATTAAACCCATCGGTCTTTCGTGTACTTTGAATTAATCTTACCCATGCATGATTTTATAACATCATCCATTGGTCATTTGGAAAAGATTGATTCACCGAGTTATGAAGATCTTACAAACATTGACAAATTTCATTCATTACAATATCCAAAAAAATCATATTTATTAAACCCACCACCTATCTTATCAGAAAAGTCATTAAGTACAGGGAGGCAGTCAAGCTCCTGATGGCACAAACAGGGTTTCCAAAATTCTGATTTTTTTTTCAAAATTGAATCATCACAACAGATACCATCAGTTGTTTTCCTTGTAATGACAATCCGCTGAGATCATTTTTGAGAAAATGTCTGCCACGTGCACGAGTCTAAGTAACTATAATTTTTCTGTCAGTTTTCCTTCCAAGTAAAAATGGTGTTCAGGGCAAAAGCAGCACTTATCACACTAATACTTTCCCTCGAGACAACCATGGTGCATCTTGGTTTGGAGCTGACTTGCTATATGCGGACTCCCCATTTCATCCCACGGAATATTCAAAAGGTGTATACTTAAAGATGAGATTTAATAGAATCATGATTATGGCTCCACTGGGGACTTTTTCCCAACGTGACTGTCCTATTTATGAACCGAGCGCATCCATGATGGTGAACAAATATGACGGTCACTAATAAAACTCGGTGCCTCTGCCCTGATTGTGGCTCAGGTGCTCATGGTTGTAGCCCCCATCACTTTGGCACCATTCGTGCAAATATCAACACAGTAGGAGAGACCTCGCAGGTGCCCCTGAACAGGTCTCAGGGACTCCTGGGGTCCTAGATGTTAGAACTTCCGGGACAGTTTTAAAACCGTGATGGAATTTCAAGGGGACTGCCGCACACGTGAATACACTCGGAGGTCAACTTTACTTATTTATCCCTTTGCAAATCTTAGACCATGAGTCCTCGACGACTTCAGAGCCCGATGACAGGGAAATCGGTGCCAGGACCAACGGGAAGGGGAGCCCAGGGGAGCCGTCGCCAAGCCCCATGCAGGTCCTAAGCAGCACGGGAGCAGGGGACTCCAACCGCTCGACTCTGCAGAGGTATGCTTATCGCTCATCGGGTCCAGGGTTTTCCCTGCATTTGACTTCATACTCATCTGGGTAACAGTTTCAGTGATTTAGTCGCCGTAGAAACAGACTGGCAGTAGTCAAGTCCTGCATTTTCACCGCAGCCCTTCTAATTTTCTCTTGGTATAAATGCCACCGCCTGAATCTTTTCACAGCATCTTAGTGAGGATGAGAGTATATTGCTAGGAGAGCATTCATTTCTACTCCCTAATTCCACCCTTCTCACCCTTCCTCGATGCAGGTTTGCTGTTAGGACTTAGCTTTACAACTACTATCTTCTGATTCCCACTCCCGCCCCCTTTTCTGTCTGCCACAGCTTATAATTACCCTGTCTGGAATCAGAGGAAAAATAGAGTGCCATACGCCCTGCTCTGATATTACACAGGTGCAAAGGAGTGTGAAAGCAGCCTCTGGCGTCAGTTCTCCAACGGCACGGGACTGGTCTTCCTTGCTGCATAGACTACGATGCTACACTTTCTCATAGATATTAGGTGTTGATTATATGTTGGTGCTGATTTTCAGCACACGACCATCCCTTCTACAAGCAAAACAGTTGTGCCAGAGAAACTAGGTCTGCTAGAGAATGAATTGCTATCATCAGTACCACTATTATTTTTTTAAGATTTAATTTATTTGAGAGAGAGAGAGCACAAGTGGAGGGGGAGGGGCAGAAGGGGACGGGGAAGAAGACTCCCCATTTAGCAGGGAGCCCCATGCGGGGCTCCATCCCAGGACCCTGGGATCTTGAACGCAGCCAAAGGCAGATGCTTAACCGACTGAGCCACCCAGGTGCCCCAGTACTGCTATTATTTTTTTTATAACTATTTCACACAAAAACTCTAAAATTGTAATTAGCAGTGTGGACCAACAAGACTTCCACTGAGGGTGCAGCTTCATAGGGAATAGATTTTCTTCTTCTTCGGTGCGACAAAATGGGCCCTTGCTGGCATCTAGTTTCAGCATGAACAGGTCTAAGTGCAGAATTTGATTTTCCCGTGCGGGGAGAGGAGCCATCAGGGGACCCGTTGTCAGACTTGCCTGGGAAGGGCGTTCTCTTACTTCAATACAGGCATTTCACTCCTTGCCCTTTTGTTCGTAACACCCACTCCTCTTAAGCCTTTGATTCATTTTTTTACCACATTTTGTCTGTAATCTTAATATGGCAACCAGTTTTATGACCTTAGAAACATTAACTGTCAATGGCGAGCTCATTCATTTAATCCGAGTGTTTCCTCTGTCTCATTATATGAATGTCACCAAATCTAAAAGCCTCTTTAGCCTCAACACTGTCACCTATAAACTAGGAGTAAGTACAGATAACTTTTGAAGACATTAATGGTCAAAATACCTATCGGATAAGTCGTTGTATAAATAGATAAGAAACATTAAAATGATGTTGGGTTGTTTTGTTTTGTTTTTAAGATTTTATTTATTTATTTGACACAGTGAGAAAAGGAACACAAGCAGGGGGAGTAAAAGAGGGAGAAGCAGGCTTCCCGCTGAGCAGGGAGCCCAATGCGGAGCTCTATCCCAAGACTCTGGGATCATGACCTGAGCCGGAGGCAGATGCTTAATGTCTGAGCCACCCAGGCACCCCACGATGTTGGTTTCTAGTGCATCTAAGTACATAGAAAGCCTTCCTTTTTCCTGTCCTACCAACCTTATTCTTTCCCATTTTGTTCTGATTTCTTACACTCCTCACAATTCCATTAGATTAACTGTTGGCCTCTTTCTTTCTCTGAATGCTGTCCTTGTTGCTGGAGGTGGCATGTGCCCAATGGTTTCTGCCCCCTCAGCCTTGCTAATGACCTAACATGCATTCTCTGAAGGTGAGTATGGATGGACGCCTGGGTCCCTTCCTTGGGGCCCAGGATGCTAGAATAGGAATCCATATGGCCATGCATTCAGAGGCAGAACTGAGACACCATTTCCATTTTCCTTTTTCTTTGAAGTACCCTTTGAAAAGACACTGAGCAGTCTCTGACTCTTCTGAAGAAATGCATTTGACCTTGAAGGCACTCACCCCTGACTAGTTTCTGCCGACCTTCTTTTCACTTGCAGCGTTATCAGTGGTGTTGGGGAACTGGATCTAGACAAAGGGCTAGTGAAGAAAGCAGAGCCCACCACCAAAGACAAACCTTACCCCGACTGCCCCTTCCTGCTACTAGATGTGCGAGACAGAGATTCTTACCAGCAGTGCCACATTATTGGAGGTAAGAGAGAGAGGAGGCGTTCTAGCGTCTCACTCCAAGAACAGAGCCTGTTCTAGAGTCCTGGCAGGCTGTAGCCACATCCCAGGGGCAGCAGTTAAAGAGATTTTCTGTTAGCAGGATCCATCATGGGAATCTGGAATTGGGCTCTGCCATAATGCTCTTGAGAGAGGCTGGTGACATTCCCAGATGGCTCTGGGGCCCAGAGCTAAATGTCCTCAAAGGTGACATGAAGCTTCCTAATGTGTTCATAGTGCCCTGTTTCTCTTCTCTCAAAAAAGTATTTAGGTTTATGGCTCAAGGATTTTGCAAGTATGTTTCTTTGAGCTTTTAAACTTTAAACCAGCTGGGAATTTGGGGCCAAGTTGTACAGAGAGCTACAAACTGCCTGAGCTTTTTCTTCTCTTTGCAGCTTACAGTTACCCAATTGCAACTCTGTCTAGAACAATGAACCCTTATTCAAATGACATTCTTGAATATGTATCCTTTGTTGCATTTTAAGGAGTTGGGTGGTTTGAGGACTGTAAGAGTCAAACTTATCATGAATCATGCTCCTAGGGAAAAAAAAAAACTCTGTAAAGGACCTTTGATATTAATTAGCTTACTTAGCATATTTTAGAATTTGGATTCTTAGCTGTTGCTGAGTACCCTGACCAGCCTGGCAGATGCTTCCAAGCCATCCCGCAGTGGGCCAAAAAACATTAGGTTAAAGTCTGTGATCTGTTGAGAGTCCTAAGACCTTTTTTCCCTCCCAAGAAAGCTTTCCCAACTAAAACTTCAGAGGTAAATTTTTTTTCTTTCTGTCTTAAAATTTTTTCTTTCTTAAAATTTTACTTAATTTTTTTGCTCATAAAAATGACACAAATAGAAAATAATTTAAGCACTGAAAAATATAAAAAAGATTGATAATCGTACAACTGAACAACTCTGATTATGTTTTTTGCATATTTTATTTCCAGTTGTCTTCTCTGTATTCTTTAAAAAGGAAAAATCATACTGGAGATATAATTTAGTATTTTGACTTTTCCTTAGTTCATAGTACAGTGTATTTCTCCAGGCTAATCCAAGCTCTTTATAAACTCCATTTTTGATGCAGCACATTATCTCGTCTTACTATATACTATACTATGATTTACTAAACTCTTCCTCTCTAATGGGCTTTTAGGTGGGTCTCCTTTTTTTTACTAGCATAAATAAGGCTGCAGTGGACCCATGGGACAGAGAGGTTTTCTATTTCCTCACCTGTGAATGGAGATTGTCATACCTTTCAGGGCCGTGAGGATAAAAGAGCTAAAGGGTGTGGGGTGTGGAGCTAGTGCTGTCTTGGACCACGGTGATACTCGTTTATAAAAAAAAAAAAAAAAAGAAAGAATACGAGCTCATGTGGTTTCCATGACAAGAAAAAAAAAAAACAAACAGAGTACTGATGTGCAGAATAAAGAGTGGGGTTGTTCAACACTCTCTGAACTCAGGAAGGTGACCCTAGACCATTCCTTGTTCCTTGGGGGTTTCTGGGTAGTCTAGTGCGGGCGAACCTTAACTCCTGTGACTCTTAGAAAAATGCCCACGGCAAGGTCATCATTCTGTACGACGATGACGAGAGGCTGGCCAGCCAGGCAGCCACCACCATGTGCGAGCGGGGCTTTGAGAACCTCTTCATGCTTTCCGGAGGTGAGTGGGCTGTACCCTGTTTGGGATTGAAAACACAGATATTTGGACTCAAAACCCTTCAACCCCCTCCCCTATCACCCTTTTCCTGTGCACGCTCAGAATTGCGAATTCTAGGAGAGAGAACCACGCTGGCTGCAAAGGGTCAGGAGTTCTGTGAAACTTCTTTTAGCTCCGTCAGCACATGTTTTTAATTCCTGAAATACTGCTGTTGCTATAGGACTCTGGGAGAAAAACCTTAATGCTGAAGACTGGAGCAAAAGGATTTCTGGTGGAATTCTCAGAATCCCGCCTAACCATGGACATTTTCTGGTGTAATCTGCTTCATGGTGAAGCAGTTAAGATGTCCCGTCCTTGTGTCTCGGACTGGAAGACCAAAGATGAGGAGACAGGCAGCTGCCTTCCCAGGCCCTCGCCTCACCATGTTAACGCTGCTTTTTCTGATGCTCTTTCACACCCAGGTCTAAAAGTCTTAGCTCAGAAATTCCCAGAAGGACTGATTACGGGTTCCCTGCCAGCGTCTTGCCAGCAGGCCCTTCCTCCTGGCTCTGCCCGGAAACGATCGAGCCCCAAAGTGCCACCCCTACCAGCTGAGAATAAATGGAGATTTACCCCAGAAGACTTAAAAAAGATAGAATATTACCTGGAAGAGGAGCAGGGTCCTGCAGACAATCCTAGTAAGATATTTTGACCTTTAGAGATCATGTTTTCCGTAGACCTTTGAGATTTGCAGCTTTGAACATCACCTCCTTGTACGAAAAGTTTGATCTCTTATATTCAGTCTTAAAATATTTGTAGGGGATGGGGAATGTGCGGGTGCTGTGTGGGGAGGGGTGGGACAAGTGGTGGTGATCCTAGGTTGTGGGAAGAATTAGACATTGCATATAGACAGAGAAAGAGAAAGGGTTTATCAGTCGGATAGCGTACGTATTCCAGGCAGAGCGGAGGGGCTAAGTTGAGGCACTAGGATTCCCTCTCCGATGGGCCTTGTTTCCCTCTGTGGCTTCTGGGCACTTTGAAACCCCGTCTAGCCTTCCCTTGAGCACACTACTTTCTCTTCTCTTTCCCCTAATCCCTCCTATACCCATTTCTACCAAGAATGAAGGCCAGGCTAGGCTGGTTGGGGATAACAGAGAGGAAGGGGAAAAAAAAAAAAAAAAAAAAGCAAAAGCTCTCTGGGCTTCCTTTCCTCCCTGCCCCTTCCCCACCTTCAGGCTGATCTCAAGTAGGTTTTAGCCTAAAGTAGACCCTGAATAGGACTTCATTAGCTTAAAAGTGGTTGTACCCTAAGACTTCATTAACTTGAAAGTGTACTTGGCAGATCGTGCCCAGAGTCATTCTTGCAGCTCTGCCCCTGCCTTCTCACTCCCTCAGGCCGCCTGAGCCAAGCTAACGCCTCCGGAAGAGACTCCAAGGTTCCAGGCACCCGCAGCGGTCAGAGCCTGCCTGCCGGGGTCCCCACCGGCCCCCCGAACCCCCGCTCGCTCAACAGCAGCCACCTGCAAGGCAAGCCCTGGAAGTAAAGACTTTGTCTGTCTTAGTCAAATAAATACTTTTTCTCCTTTTGGAACCCCTGGGCAGTTCCCAAGTTGGTCATTTTCAGAAACTGCTGCACAGGAAAGACCCCCACATGTGACAGGCCCTCTTCCCTCTGCCCCGGGGCCAGCACTTGCCTGCATCCAGCTCGGAAGGAGTTTTACAAAAACCAGAGGCATGACAGGCTCTAGCGTCCTCCCTGTTGTTTACAGAATATTTAAGTTTCTGAAACTGAGCAGGAAAAAAAAAAGTCTAATGTTTTAGGCCCTTTAAAAAAAAAAAAAAAAAAAAGGCCCAGCTTGTATTGGGTCCTATCCTGCATTGTTTTGTAAATTCTTCAGTCCCATCTGGTATGTTCTTCCCAGGCAGTTCTTTTCCACTCAGTGATCTTGGTTTCATGAAGATTCTCCAGATGGACTTTGCAGCAGCCATCTCGGGCGGGGGGGCAGGGTGGGGTTGTGTGGAAGGTTGGGGAGTGGGTGCTTCTCACCTCTCAGCACCCCTAGCTGTGGGCCCACTGGTCTGTCATGAATTGGGAGGCGACGGGGGACACCTGTATCATTGCTTGGTTTTCAGGTGTGTTAGAGCCACCCTCACACTCCCTGAGTGTCCCTCCCCGCTGGCTGTTTTCCTGGAACCAGCCCTGTAACGATGCCTTCACACAGGGCATGAGGGCTCCTCACCGGGACGCCCTGTCTGCCGGACGGTCCTGTGTTGAGGGCCACTGATGCACCCCCACTGCCCACCCCGACCTGCCCCTCATTGGCGGTCGGTCTCCCCATTGTATGTTTCCACTCCCCAGCTCGGGTCTGTCCATCTTGGATGGATAGAAATTATGGCCCCTTGAAAACAGCAGCGTCAGTCGTCAGTCGGGTGACCTCAGGCAAACAAGGTGCGGACAACTCCATGGTCCTTTGTCAGGGCTGACAGACCCTTTAAGCCCTAGCTTTAAAATACAGTATTAGTCTAATTGAGTAATTAGTGCAATTTCCTGCTTACTTTTCATTCTCATGACTGAGCTGTGATTAGGAGGTTGTGATTGTAGATTCTGGTTTGGGCCAGAATTTTGAATCAGCATTAATTGAATTGCTAGGTGACTGACATTCATTCCATTTAATTGGAGGAACAAAAGACCTCAGGTAAGGATGAGGGACTCCGAAATCATCAGGCAAAGGGAAAGAGCCTTGTTAATTTTTATGGTCTGTGATTTGTAGCTGTGATAAGGGACCGAGGAATAAATTGTGCACTTTGTCATGGCAACCGGCTTCTGAAAAGCCAACTGAAAATTGCCTGTCCTTAGGTGGTTCCTGCTGCCGGTAAGATTTGCCTTAACGGGATCATTTTCTTGCCACCAAAAAAAAAAAAAAAAAAAAAAAAAAATAAGAAAAAAAAAAAAAAAA